AACACAAATGCAGAATAATAGTTGAAGCTGCTTAGGCAGATTGATGATCTCCATTGCCTAGTAATTCCCCTTGTAGGAATGTTCATCATCATTCCTCCTCAAAAACATGGCAATGAAACAATACTACTTAATCCAGACTTGACTTCAATTTTTTCCTATTATTGTAAAGCAAGGATGTGGTGCTGAAAGAAGGTCCATTGCTTGCCTTTCGCGATTTAGCCAGGATGGCGAGAAAGATGAGGACTATAGTAATGGAGAGCAACACAGACAGCATTCAAATGTGTCTGTGTGTGTATGTGTGTGCGTGTGGTAAGTTTGTTAGTGATTCCTTGATTGGTCATGGAAATACACATACACTCACTTTTATACCAACCCTCATCAACCTTGAGACCATCACCCAATTGAAGGTGTGGTTTCAAGGTTGTGCATGTGCGGGTTGTGCAGTGCGCGCTGTGCTATCACTGTGGTGTGTAGGAGCGTGCACCAGCTCGTTTATGTCAAGCAGTAATTTGCACTCATTTTTACCAGACTCTTTCTTCTTTCCCTCTCTTCTCCTGCTCTCTCTTTCTATTCATCAGAGTTCTGGCAAATGAGGGTAGATTAGGCCATAAAATTGGGCTGTCATAGATTAATCAGGTGAAATCGCCTGTTTCTAGCCTGTCGCATACTACTGTTACGCATGAATCAGTAGAAGTACTGTCCATTTCCATGACCTATTGATTTTGCTGTCAGCTACAGTGATTTCTGTGTTGCATTATTTAACTAAGGAGTTTAACGCTTTTTGGTGAATGATGCATGATGCGGCTCATGCAGCCTGAACTAAACATTCAGCAGTTCTCCCTATTCCGCTGAAGCCACGTAGCACTGCTTGTCACTGAATTCTTCCCAGGTCAACACTCGACAAGGCACAACACCGTAAACTTCTGCTGATGCCAAGCAAGTCACAATATGCGGCTACTACAAAGACTACATGCCTGTAGTTGAATCGATTGTGATTAAATGAGTCTGTGCACACACACACACGGTAGTATAATGAGGTCGAATTGGGATGATGAACTTACTCTTCTGTTCTACCTCCACTATAGCCGCTTTGCTTACATTAATGGCTTGAAGTGGGGACGTGGCTGTCAGAATGCAAGGACATTTTCCTCCCACTTATCCCTGCTACACACACTGGCTACCAAAGCCACTGTCGGACCCAACACAACAGTCGTGTGTAGTAAAAGGGCAGAAAAGGGGGCAGATGCAAGCAGCACGTAGGCACTACAAGCTGTTGCCAACAGCATGTCCCATCTCTCCATTTTGATGGTCACCTTTCATGACCACTTTTGGCGTTAGGCATCAGAGGCAGTGTCACTCCTGCAAAGGAAGAGGAATGACGTCTGTAATGCATCCGATATTTCCGGTGAGTGGAAGAAATACGTATCCTTACGCTATTAGTTTAAACTTAGTGTATCTACACATTCTTATTCCTCTCACCGACATACCCGCTTAAATGCCATTTTGAAGAATAAAGGAGGTGATACGGACCAACTAGCTCCTGCGAAAAGGATGCAATCATCGATCCCCATCAGGCACTACCAAACTCAACCATCTAACAAAATCTCACCAACTTTAAAACATAGTAGGTGATTCGATGAACCTCCTTTCGCTAAGTTAATTGACCGCCTTCTTGATTGCTCAATCTACTAATCATTTTAGCTGATTATCTTGCGTTGCTGCCGAAGTTAACCGCTTTGTGCAAGATGTAATCAGGTGGTGAATATAGCTTTGGAAGATCCTCAGCAGTGAATACTACCTAGGCAAATATCAGTAAATGGTAGCGTTCCAATTTAGTTATTTTTCTGATCCAATTCCCTCGATTAAGTGGAGGTGAGTTTCGTGAAATGTGCAAAGTGGTAGATTTTAAGAGAAAGTAACTCTTAATAGCCTTTTGTAGGTTTTCGTGGCCATAATTCATTTTACTTCTCACCTCTCGTAATTAGTGCGATTACCTTTGGGTTCTCCCTGTCTGTGGGTGTGTTTTAATGAGTAGGAAGTTAAGGAAGCTATTGTCTCATTATCAACATAATCGTTTTCATCTGAGTTCACATACTAATTACTGTCTCATTCCCAATCCTTCCTACATGGCTGATGATCCATACCCATGCTATGATTGCCATCTTCCCTTGACATTACAATTGCCAGTAGCATTGCTATCACCATCAGAGCATCACTTCACACACGACGACATTGTACAATGTTTCCACTTAAAATTAGTAGCAGGCCAATGACAGTGAACTGATGGAAGTGGAGGTGGTGAGAGTTTGACTATTTGCCGATGGAGGTGAAATGCCTCATCACCTTGCCTTTGTAACCACCTGGACGCCTCTCTCTGGGACAGAAGCAGCATCAGAACTGCCTTGTTGGTACTTTGCCTATTCTCCCCTCATGCAAGAAGAAGTTGAACATCACTTGAGAGTGGGCTGAACAGCGAGCTTTGATGTACCCCTCTCACACAGAAAGAAAGGAATAATCAACGAGTAACTGCAATCTCCCAGTAAACATAGGGTTTGATTGCATTCTGTCGCTTTCTTCATTCACTAATCAATTAATTATGTGAATTGTTTGCCTCCTATTCTGTGCCTGTTTGCCTGGTTTTGTCCAAAAATTTTGCAAACATCAAAGTTATTTTCAGATATTTGTCTCCTGCGCATACTATCTACTACCACATCATATGATTTGAGCAATTAAATTTTGCAGTCGCACTCCCAGTTACTTAGACTATGTGAGCTACTGCTCATGCAAAATAGCACATTTCAAATTCACAGAAATATGCATTAAGTAATTTTTTGTGCTTACGAGTGCACGATATGTGGCACAACTCGTGAGGCAAATTATTCTGTAATCTCCATCTTCCTTAGGATCAATGCTAATGTGCCATGCCATTGTATGACAGGCACATCATGATCGGAGTACTACCGATTCAGATAGGTGATGCCCGTATGTTATTTACTTGCCAGTTGACAACCCCCAGGGTTTGATTTACTGTCTCGGATCAGCCACAGCACCGATTATTGAACTCACACCCTCCTCATGTTCACGAAACTGGTGTTTTCACGAGGTTGTGTGTCAGTATTGCTATGCCTTTCTCCTCTAGATAGCAATGCTTATGTATGAGTAATCTTGTCTTCAATGACAATATGTACTCGTCACTGTTCCCTCCAAAATCCTGCTTCAAATCCTCGGAAGTAGGAGACTGAACAGAAGAGATGACATTACGCATTCTGCAAAGGCGTTTGTTTCTCTTACGAAAGAGCAGACAACCATGCAATGTAGATTGGTGGAAGTGGTAAAATTCAAGTGAAATTTTCGTTCATGCCGGTGAACAGGAGCGAGTTATGAGAAGCTGGAACATGGCCGAACTCGTTCCGAGGTAGCCTTCAATAGTCCCAGCTTAACGTACTTGACTTGTGTAACAGTGCGGCATTTGTCGCCAACATGGAGGCGGCTGACTATTCTGATTTTAATGAATTATCTTCATCACAGAATATCGTGAGTCTTTTCTCGTTTGTGCTGGATGACTCAAGTGCTGTGTTTGAGACGAGTCATTCGATGCAAGCAAGAAAAAGAAGGGAATAGTACTTGTGGGAATGAGGGGGTTGAAGAAAGAGAGGAGGGAGGCCATCTATGGGATCACGAAAAAGCAAAATACAGTCCAAGATTCATCATTGCCACCCATCAAGTCACAAAAGAGATCAGCAACCACAAATCACTACCGTGGTAATAAATTATGACAAATCGCCGAAAATAAAATATAAATATTGATAGAAGTAAAAGTATTAGCATTGGGGCTTGCGTAAAGAAAGGAGGCGTTTTAATTCCGAATAGAATAAAAAGAGGAGGAGTAAAATAGATAGGAGATACGATTTAATGAAAAGGAGAGAAAAATATGAACCAAGAGTTAAAAAAACGTAAAAGTGGATGTCCAGAAAAATACCCTGGCGATGTGCTAGCAATCAAGTAATTGGAAAGAAAAATAAAAAAATAAACAAGGGCTGAATGGTAGATGGGAAATGTAAAGGAAGGAAAGGCTAGATATAGAAAAAGGAAATAAGAGAAGGAAAAAGGATTGCAAAAGAAATGACGAAAAAATGAAAAAAAAATAAGAAAATGTGATCGGAAAAATATTTCAAGGTTTCGGATAATGCATTTCTCAACCCCCTGTCGACCTTTACCACACGTGCC